TAATGAATCAGCATAGTGCCCTGATGAATCATATCGAGCATCTCCTGTAATAACACAAGGTTCATGTCTTCAAAGTTTACAATGCTAAATGATTCTGCTTTTTTCCTGAAAATTCTTTCATACTGGTTGTGTATATAAACTTCTATAGTTGTAGAAAGGATAAACAGTATAGAAAGGTAGATGTAGACATTTGTATATATTTATGAGGAACAATCCAGAAATAATGATAGCAGTTGTCAATATGTTACTCCAAAGCATTGGGCTATGTACAGGTTGACTACACCATTTCTATGTGCAGTTTTCTTTTTTTTTCACATTTCCCATTAGCAGTTACCATTGTCCCTGAAGTGCTTAGTTGAACTTGTGGATTTAAAATGCTACAAATGAGACATCTGGCGTAAAGCTGCAATAGACATGTCACAAAGACAATGTATTTTTTTTTTCTGTATGTGGATTCTCCCCCTAGATATCAGCACTGAAATCTTTATAATTGTTTCTGTCCTTTCAATTCATTCAATGTTGAATCACTTAATGAGGACAAGGATGAAAGTGAGCTTACACTAGCACTCCAGTGTTCATTACTAGTTTTAATCTTGCGCTTATTATGTTGAGCATTCACGAAGTATAAAACTTTCAGTCTAGGTCTTATCAGTTTTCATTGGAACTTTCTGTGGTTCATTGTTTATAGTCACAGTTTGGCTTACTTTACAAGCCTTTTTAGCTGCTTCTGGATAAAAAAAACAACTAAAATTAGTAATATTTTAAAAAAAAAATATTTTTTCATCAGATTAAAAAATGCTGACTATAAGCATTGATGTGACTCTGTGACATTATGGCGAAGTCTTTAATATTTTAAATGGTTATGGTTCGTTTACTCTAGGTCTAGGGGAAGTAATTTTGAGTTTTCGCCGCTCACATAAGAAAATTTTGGACAGGCACACTACGAGCTAACAATGAGAACAAATGAACAAGGTATATATTAAATATAGGAATAATTTAATTTAACAAAAGACTACTAGCTTGCGTAGGGGGTTAACAATGAGTTTGATGGATTAATTTCATCGTTTTCTCTTTGTGTTCAGCTTTTTCTAATTCCCTTTGTATACATTCAGTCTATCACCCGTAAGACTTTCTTTGACTAACTTCCAGATATTGTCGTAGTTAGGCATTGATTGATATAGTTGTCAATATTAAGTAGAATTTAAATATGTGTATTGTGACAACACATATTAAATGATAATTAGATATGTGTATAGTGTCAATAAATATGTATATAGTATCAACTCTGTAGAGAATGCTTAGTTTCAACTTATTAACAGGCAAAATAATAATGTCTCACGTTGCATGTATGTTTGGTATTTTAAATAATAGATAGCCAATAAATGTATCAACTTTGTAATCAATAGCCAATAAATGTATCAACTTTGTAATCAATAGCCAATAAATGTATCAACTTTGTAATCGGTGTGTGCCAAATACAATGCACACAATAATCAATAGTAACAAGTAAAAATAATCAGAGTACTAGAAATGTATCAACACAAAATAATCCAAGTTCAAGAGCTCAGAAAAAATAAGCTCTAATCAAGTAGTAGCATGTATATATATATATATACACTATATTTCAAATCTATGATTGTAACATCCTCAAATGTGCAGTAGAAAAATGAAATGAAAAAAGAATTAAATTAATAATAGTAAGAAGGAAATAAATAAAGACTAAGCGACGAAGACAAAAACAATGTGTATAACAGTCTCGCTACAAAGGAAATTTATAAATAGAAGAATTTGACAAGAGAATTACAAACATGTAATTACAAGAATTACACAAACAACAATAGAAATAGAACGAGAAATTACTCTTACGATTGTACAAACAAAACTATATACGGCTCAACAAACAAATTCTAAGTGATCTAGTAGTCCCTACCAAACAAGGATGGTCTACACTGAACCTTATTAGGACTAAAAGAGCAAAAAGAAATAATCCCCCTAAAGATTCCTGTCTAATGCGGTGAAATAGAACGTAGCGAATAAATCCGATTCCTGGACATTTGTACAAATAATTTGGTTCCGTATTTATACCACTACTTCTCGTGGTGGTGGTCATAGTGGTTGCTGTTGCGATGAAGGCACCATATGTGTCATTTGTTGCAGTAGTTTGTTGTAGCTGCTGCTGCTGCCGTCGTCAGTTTTTCTTTTTCTTTTCTTTTTGAGGGCTGTCTTCATTCGTCCTAATGTCACTTAACGGACCCACTTCAATCTCATTATTGCAGGAGGATAATGTGGCGGCAGTGGTGGTGGCATCTTCAGTAGTAGTGGTTTGTTGCTGTTATTTTTAGTTGTTATAATATTCATAAAATAAGATGAGTTATTAATGTTTGTTATTTTAATTGCAAATATTTCTGATATGTGTTTTGTTGGCTATAGAAAGGGAAGGATGTTGATGTGTGTTTTATGTAGGTTGCACCAAACCAATCGGTGTTAGGGAGTAACATCCCAAGTAGCTGTTGTTTTCAACCAAGATGGCGTTAGATTAAACAGCTGATTTCATGTCTTATAATTTATATCCAGAGTCTTGTTATTTTTCGTTCATGTTAATCAACAGACAATGTGGCGGCAGTGGTGGTGGCATCTTCAGTAGTAGTGGGTTTGTTGCTCTCCTTCTCCTTCACTAACTAAAGACTTAGCTACCCTCCAAAGGTGGTATCATCAGTATATTTAAATCTATACCCATTTCTTCCAGCGTTTTGACGTGTCTTACATCATTTTTATCTGCGGATGCGTTCACGGTTAACGGGTTGATTAGGCAGAAGCGTACACGAACAATTTTATCCAGAGTTGGTACACCATCTGTTTAGCACAAAAGAAAATCAATAGGTGCAGTGTCTTGCAAAATCTTATATTTTTTTTAGAGCATTGCCAATGACTCGTTCCACGTGGATTCGCATTTGGGCTAAATTTCTGCTTTGGTCAACGTCCAGGGCAGTGAACTGCTGTTTTCCTTTAGTAAAAGCAGGGATCTTTATTTCTGCATGCTGTAAGGAAATGCTTGCTGCAAAATCAAATCCTCTGTCAGCCAAAACCGAATCCTTAAATTGTCTAAAAATGATGAATTTTCAACATGTTTGTCACTTGTACGGCCACCCCATCCACAAGATAAAAATGAAACACCTTGAGGTGTTATACCAATCAAATATTTGACTGTGTTGTTGTGCTAATAAGAATAATAGGTGCTTTAACGCTGCTAGGTCTCTCAATGAAAATTTCAAAACAGTCATTTATTACTGTCACTTTCCTGCCAAAAGTACGAATAAATTCTTTGGGCATTGTCTTTCTGAGACTATCCTTATCTGGGCATTGTCTTTCTGAGACTCTCCTTCTCGGGCCAGAAAATCTAATTGGACATGTTGCCCAAAGTTGCAATAGACATGTCTCAAAGACACTGATTTTTTTTCCTGTAATAAATTTTATTGATAACATCATGGCACTTTCCATAAAAAAATATGGAAAAGCTAACAAATATGTCAAAAAGGTCTGGGCGGCATGGAGTTACAGACCGTGCGATAAATATCCTTCTCTTAAACTACATTTCGCACGGAATGGAATGTCTGCTCAATATGTCTGTGTTAGGTCATGGTTCTGCATCCACAATAGTGCATTCATTTCTTTCTCTATAATCGCTGATACAATAATGATATGGATTCCGTTCCGCAAGTTGATCGTACAGTGATGATGGTAATGGTATTGGTGGTGGTAGTACCAATCCGGCAGATGAGGAATGTGCCGTGATTATACCGGGAAGAGATGACACAACTGGACTATTTGCAAAGTCGGTATTAATAAATGTTGTGTATACGTCTATGCCTTCCATAATTTGTTTTATGGTTTTAAACGAGTCACTAACTACAATGGGCAAAAGAGGAATGTCCATTTCTCTATTTAATTGATATAAAACTGGATCGAATGGAGCATCATCATCACCGGTTCACGACCCTCTTCGCCGTTCTCCATGTCGATCGAATCATATGAATTCGCTTAGAGAAAGTTGAGATTGTGAAAGAAAGCTACTTTACCTGATGAACTGTTTGCCTTATGAGTTGGGCAACGATAGAATTGTCCATTCACAATTGTCTTTGTATCTGACAGTTCAGAAAACTAAAAGATGTTAACTTAAAAAAAGTTAAAACCCTGTTCACTCTCTGATTGTTTGAGAAAAATATATGGCCTTCATCTCTCTGGACTAAGTTACCATTTTACTTCTTACAAATATTATACTAGAAGTGTCCCTCCTGTCTGTTTGAGTGCATATAGCCACTGTATTTTTTAGGTGTGCATTGTCCCGTAAATGTATCAAGTTGTATATAATTGAACTCTAAACAATAGGTTCATCTCTCTGACACACCAAATGTTCATTTGATAAAATGGGAATAAACCGTTTATTGGTTCTATGTATATTGCCGCTACTTCGGCGACGTGACGCTCCAAATGTGATACTGGTTCTGCTGGAGGAGTCCTAGGTTGGTCTGGTTCGGGAAAATATATAGGCGTTGCCCGCACCATATACGTGTCCCGCCAAATTATATATGTTGATGGCTATTGCGTCATACAGAGGTACACTTTTGTTTAGAATAATTGTGAAGGTGTCCCTCCTGTCAGTTTGATTGCATATAGCCACTGTATTTTTAGGTGTGCATTGTCCCTTAAATGTATCAAGTTGTATATAATTCACTGCTTCTTTCCAATGTTCGCTTAAAAACAGAGTGGAGATAAAGTTTTGTTTTATAATATAATTTTTTTTTTTTTCTTAAACCATGTACTTGACCGAATTGCCCAGCTCCCCCGATCCCTAACACTGTAAGTATTTTTTAGCTAGCACTACAAAAACCCTGTCCAGCCCCCCCCCCCCCCCCCCGGTCATTACTCAGGGTTAAGACTAAATGGGCCACAGTTGATTCAGTCACTAACCCAATGCCTATGTCGTCACTAGAAAATGTCGCGTTCCTAAAGTGTCTTGCAATTCCTCCCCCCCCCCCCTATTTTTTTTTCTTATAAATGTGTTTTTTTTTTTCTAAGTCTGTCTTTCCAATGGACTTAAGCATCGAATTGGGGGAAAAAAGACAAAACAAACCTAAAGGTGCCACTGATTCTTGCTCTTTCATCATGACCAGTTCATTGGTCATACTGACTAGTTCTTTCTCTAGTTGATAGTGTTGAGGATATCACTGTAGTACAAAATACAAAATTCATGTTTCCTTCAAGACACACATTTGTTTTGCATCTCCAGATGATAATACACAAGTCTATAAATTTGTACACCAAAGGCATTTCCGGCACCATATACGTGTCTGCCAACAAAAAATATAAGCTGGTGGCTATTGCATGAAACAGGGCGATATCTTTATTATTATTTAAAATGACTGAAGATATCCCTTCTGTCGGTTTGATTACACATTGCAGCGGTATTCTCTGGTGTGCACTTTCATCATGAAACCCCTTGGGCTATTCTAAAAGTACCTAATCAGGATCTTTCGCATTTTGCACATAGGCAGGTTTACCTAGAATGTTTGAAATAATGTCAAATAAATAACTTGTGTACATTCATAATTATAGTAGTAGTTAAATAAAATTGTATATATGTGTACTTGTGAGACAGTGCTTTTTTTTTGTACCTGTATTATATCCAAGCTATTCTATGACTATATTATATAATTTAATCTATAGATATATTTATTCAAATCATAATGTATTCATTTATTTGTGGAAATAAAAAAATATGAATTGAAATATTTGTTAGTAAATTATTTATTATCTTATCTTTTTTGTATGAAAATTGTAGATCTATTCTTTCAAAAGAGGCCCTTAGTGGAACCTGGAGTCCCAGGTTCGAATCTCGAAGACTGGTATTAGTGTGTCACTTATTCGTATGGCTAAAATTAAAAGTAAATTATATGTTACAGATCTAGATTATGTATCTTACCATATTTAGGATTTATAACTAAACCTACTCAGGCTACATTTAGTAGATCTACTGATTTAAATAGTAATTTAAAAAAAAAAACAAAGTAACATGTAGATCAAATACAAGTTGTAAGTTAGTAACAATTGAAAACTGCGCTCCTCTTTCCTTAGCACTTTCGGAGCTCAAAAGTGCTCTACTTCTTTTCTATCATTGTGTCTGCCTCCTCCTTTCCTCAGTCTGCCTTCATTGATCATCACTCTGTCTCATCTCTAAATATCTCACTACGTCCTAGACCAGTCCGTTTGCCGTGGACTGCGACGGGTAAGGGGGGATAAAGAGATCCTGGTGTTTGAGTGGTGGCTATCTGAGGATAAACCACCACAACACAATACTTTGGCTCCAAGTTCCCCTAGACCTGAGGCCCAGATGGCCCGCTCTGGGTCAACCGGCTGGTCATGCCGAGCTACCAGCATAGGTCTTCGACCTATGCTGGAGGGCGGTGGCTGGAGGGTCAATCAGGGAGCTACTGTATCGGGCACATGTCCGATGCAGTAGCTGACTGAGTATAGCACATGTGTAGCCCTGGCGGGCTCATTCTGGACTTCCGAATGGCCCGTCCCCTTGTTGGACTCGATGGCGGGTGGGGAGCACATGTGCCGAACTAATAAATAACACCTATGGAAAAAAAAACTTCAAAAAAACTACTTGCCCCAGACCTATGTCTGGGCAAGAGACGCCGTATGGAGGACAGAAAGGAGGAGGCCACAAAAAGCTGTGCTACCTGGCCATCATTTCTGGTGGTTAGGTGCACAGAGGAGGGGAAAAGTCTGACAAAGATGAGCCCTTTTGTCATCTACAAGGGACTTAAGTCAGTAGTGGGAGAGCCCAAGAGTGTGTCTAAGCTACACAAGTCTTTGGAACTTCTAGTAGAAGTTGATAGCAAGATACACTCTGATGGGCTTTTAAGATGCAGAAGACTCTGGTCTCCAAGTGGAAGTCATGCCACACAAGAGTCTGAACACCAGCAGAGGTGTAATCAGCTCTAGGGACCTACTGGAATGTTCCGAGAAGGAAGTAGTGGAGGGCATTGAAGGAGTCACCCATGCCCGGCGCATTACCAGGCACAGGGATGGTGAGGAGGTCAAAACCGCCACTATTATCCTCACATTTGGAACTAGGACACCGCCAGAGTATGTGAAGGCAGGATACCTACGAGTTCCAGTGAGGCCCTACATACCTAACCCCATGAGGTGCTTCAAGTGCCAGGGTTATGGACACGGCGCGGCAGTCTGCAAGAGGAACACTGTGTGTGCCAGATGTGCTGGAGAAGGTCATGAGGACAAGGGCTGCACAGCCCAGTTCAAATGCCCAAACTGTCACGCTGGCCACTCAGCCTACTCCAAGGACTGCCCTGTGTGGAAACAGGAGGTTGCCGTGCAGGAGTACAAGGCAAGAAATGGATGTACCTTCAGCCAGGCGAAATCGGCTGTATTGGCCCTACCCAAGGGCCAATTCGGCTTGACAAAGACCTATGCCCAGGCTGTTGCTAAGATAGGAAGATCCATAGCCACACAGACGGACACATTGACCCCACCACCCCCTCCTCCTCCTCCAACTCAGAAAAAAACACCGCCAAAGAACACACCTCGGAAGAAACAAGAAAGCCCTGTTGTCATGCTAAAGAACAGGTTCTCTGTGCTCGCTGATGAGAGCATGGAGACTGAGCAGCTAGTCAAAACCAATACTCCGGGAGAACCCGGAGACATCATGTCTGACACAGGTTCTCCTCAGAGAAACCAGTCAGACACCCCAACCTCTACCGAATTAAGAGGTTGACCAACTCCCTAAGGGGAGAAATCAAAGCGGAGAGGATGCCCGAGGTGAGCGAGGAGGAAATAACCTCCGCTCTAACCAGAGGGATCTCCCCTCTCCAGAGAGAAAGACTTCCCCCAAAAGGGGGTTGTCCTCCTCTCCATCCAAACCCAAGAATAAAAATACCAAGGTCACTGGAATTAAGGGAAACCCCTCCGGGGGCCTCCCAAAGCCAAATAGCTCCAAGTAGGCCATCTAGAATAAGCCATGGATTCCAGAATTGTAAAGTGGAATTGCAGAGGCCTCAAGGCCAATTATGAGGAAATGCAGCTACTGATGGACTCTGAGACTCCTGTAGCTGTCTGCCTACAGGAAACATTTCTGAAAGATAGCATCAGCTTCCGAAGCTACAGTGCTTACAGCAAGAATGTTGAGGATGCAGAGAGAGCATCAGGTGGAGTCTGTATCCTTGTGAAGGATAGCATCCCCCATGAGAGGGTAGAACTACAGACCACACTACAGGCCGTAGCAGCTAGGATAACCCTTCACAAGGTTATCACTTGCTGCAGCCTGTATCTACCACCAGGCGCTCCATTAAACCAAACAGACATGGAGGACCTATTGAAACAACTCTCCCGGCCTTACATAATCCTTGGGGATTTCAATGCCCATAACACCATGTGGGGATCCAACAATACCGACACAAGAGGCCGTATGCTGGAGGATATCTTCCTCCAACATGATTTATGCATACTTAATGATGCATCACCGACCTACTTGCACCCAGGAACTGGATCTCTCACATGCATTGACCTCACCGTATGCGTCCCTGGACTTCTGGACGACTTTAAATGGTCAGTTACCAATGATCTACGGGGAAGTGATCACTTCCCAATCATCATTGCTAACAATCTCCCCTCATTGGGACGACGTCAGCGGTGGAAACTGAATAAGGCCGATTGGGAACAATTCCAAAAAAGATGCTCAGAGGATATTACAGAAAATATCCTCGATGAACAGAACCCAGCTGATACCTTTGCTAGCAAGCTACTTAGTATAGCCAGGAAAGTTGTCCCCCTAACCTCCGCAAATCCAAAACGGCCTAGCAAACCATGGTTTGATACAGCCTGCAAAAGTGCTATTGGCGATAGGAAAAAACGACTGGCTGCATTTATAAAAAATCCATCCCAGGAAAACCTAAAGCTATTTAGAATAGCTAGAGCAAAGGCTAGACAAACCATACGGTCAGCCAAAAGGAATTCTTGGAGAAATTTTGTCGGCAGTCTGGATGCCAAAACTTCTGCTAGAGCGGTCTGGAAGGCAGTAAGGCGAATCAAAGGGAAAGAATCAAATGCAATAGGGCATCTGAAAAACCAAGGACGAACTGTCACGTCCCCCAGAGAAATAGCTGACTGCCTTGCATCCTCAATAGCAGAAAAGTCATCCACTCAACATTACACGCCAGAGTTTCAAAAAGTCAAAACCAGGGAGGAAAGACACTCCATTGATTTCAGATCAGAAAACAATGAAGACTACAACAAACCGTTCTCGCTTGAGGAACTGAGGGAATCGCTAGACAAGTCACATGACACAGCGCCTGGAGAAGATGAAATCCATTACCAGTTCCTCAAGCACCTTCCCGAACCCTCATTGGCAGTCCTGCTAGGGGTCTATAACTGTGTGTGGCAAACAGGCGCTTTCCCAAACAGCTGGAGGAAAGCCACAGTTATACCGATACCTAAACCGGGAAGAGACGGCTCTGACCCAGCTAACTATCGACCAATAGCACTAACAAGCTGCATCTGCAAAACCATGGAAAGAATGATTAACAGTAGGCTGGTCTGGTACCTGGAGAGGAACAAAGTGATCTCTAACTACCAGTGCGGATTCCGGCAAGGGCGGACAACAACTGACCACCTGGTAAGGCTGGAAGCTTGTATCAGAAATGCATTACTCAGAAGAGAACATCTAGTAGCTGTATTCTTCGATATAGAAAAGGCCTATGACACAACCTGGAAACATGGCATTCTACGTGACCTGGAGCTTATGGGGCTTAAGGGACATCTTCCCCGTTTTGTGGGGGAATTCCTGAAAGACCGAAAATTTCAGGTTCGAGTGGGCAACACCACTTCTGACACTCATGACCAGGAAATGGGTGTACCCCAGGGCAGCATTCTGTCATTCACCCTGTTCAACATTAAAATAAATAGCATCATAAATGCTCTGTCCCCTGGCATAGAGTGCTCTTTGTATGTTGATGACTTTGTCATTTTTACTTATGGGAAAAACATGAACACCCTAGAAAGAAAATTACAGTTATGTTTAAACAAAATTCAAAATTGGGCAAACGATAATGGTTTTAAATTTTCGGACTCCAAAACAGTTAGTATGCATTTTTGTAATTTAAGGGGACTCCACCCAGACCCTGAACTATTTATACACAAAAAGAAGATCCCTGTCGTGAAAACTACAAAATTTTTAGGCCTCACTCTAGATTCCAAATTTAATTTTCTCCCCCACATTAAGGAACTTAAGAGAAAATGCCAAAAGTCATTAAACATACTTAGAGTGCTCAGCCATACGGACTGGGGAGCTGACAGAGATACTTTGCTGCTGCTATATCGGAGTCTAATTCGATCCAAGCTAGACTACGGATCCATAATATATGGAGCAGCAAGGAAGTCGTACCTAAAAATACTGGAACCAATACAAAATGCTGCCCTGCGTCTCTGTCTCGGCGCGTTTCGTACAACACCTATCCCAAGCCTCCATGTGGAGGCTGGAGAACTCCCCATGGATATAAGAATGAAAAAGCTTGCAATGCAGTATATAGTCAAGCTAAAATCCAACCCTACGAACCCTGCTTTCGATTCCATATTTAACCCCACAGAGGTAGAATTATACAATCGAAGGCCTAACGTCATACAGCCGTTAGGCCTTCGAATGAGAGAACCCATCCAAAATTTAACTCCACCCATTAACCAAATCTCTAAA